CGCTCCTGATTGCGCAGTGCTGGATGATTGGGCCGTACGCCTCTTCTCTCTGCCGTCAGCGCCTGGGTGCTGACTTTGCCGCCTCCAGTCGTATAACGCAACACTGATAGCGAGCCTAAAACAAGTGACGCTAGCCACGATGGACGCTGTTAGTAATCTTTCCCCGCTATCTTCTGAGAAAATCTAACATTTCGCCGGACAGCTCCAAAACTTCTTCTTCTGGACGTGGAAGATAGGCAACTCGACGGTGCTGGGAACCTCCTCCAGCCCGCTGTGGCATTATAAGCTCGGTCTGGAACGCGGATGGATCCCTCAAGGTACGGCCGCTCCCACTCCCAAAATAAGGACCGCGTTCATATCATATCTAGATCCCCGCGAGGCGATCGGGCACTGCGCGTCCGTTTTGGGCTCGTCACAGATCTTCGACGGGACACTGCCCGCGTCCGCTACCGGCGTGAGTCGTCTTTCCTTCTTTCTGCGGCACCACGCTCCGGCCCATTCCTGCATGCGGTAACTTTCCTTCTGGGGTATGAATAGGCTGGCCCAGGGACGATTGACGCGACGCAGACGGTGCAGCACGTGTTCCCGCCGACGACGCTCGCGCCGTCCTTCGCCGGTACGACGGTCGGCCTGCTGCCGACTTACACCGCCACGGGGAAGGTCAAGACGCTGTTTGCGCCGACGTTCACCGCGGCGCCGACCGCGGCCGTGGGCACTGGGTGGAATAACTCGGCTGATACGGCGCTGGCTTATGTGTGCGTTTGTCCCTCTTTACGGAGTTCTGATGCCGATGGTGCTGCTGCTTCTTTAGTGCCGTTGCTGGCTGTTCGTACCCCGAGTGAGTTTCAATCTATTCCTCTCGCTCGGGTGCTCATATACTCATCTCCAGTACTTGGAACGCGATAAACGCCTCGGTGCCGACTGCACCTTGTACCGGTTAGGGATACGTACACTTTATTAGAGGGATTCGGGATCACATTCGTTTTGGGTTCTAGCTGATGGACTAGCCGATAGACTTGACTTGGTAAGACGGACAGGTAGTTGTATTTATTGGTAATTTGCATAGACCTAGATTATACTCGCTCTCAGTCTTGTAAAGTAGTAGCACTAGTGAATTTGTTTAGAATTTAAATAAAACTCCTCAGCTAAGAGGCGCGCGTGACAAATCACATCAATCTCCTCTCCTGCTTGCAACATATGCATGGATCCGCAAGAGCTCGTTCTCTACCGTGATGCTGTTCAGAGATATGGCCCCCTGAAATTCACCAAGCTCGACCCGCAGCAACTGCGCGACAACCTCGTTTCGCGGCTTGAAGCCTTTACCCCGCCGTGCCTGATGGTTACAGACATATGGGGCCCTGTCATCGCTCTGCAGAACCTTGCGGGAACGCTCTCTCATGTCCCGAGCGACGTGTCGCGAGTGGCCCCTCGGACGGGGCCTTTGCGGGACGCCTGGAGCGAGGTCTTCGATGCGATGATTGCAAACCATCGCTTGGATGACGTCCGAAGATGGCTGCAGTTTCTGCAAACCCTCTGCGCGTCGAGCTCCCCAGAAAACCGCGGGATTACCAGTCCTGCCAAAACGATCGTCTTGTCGTCCATTACCCACTTCCTGTTCGCGTGTTTGAAGCTACAGGGGTACTCGCTCTGCTACTGGTTTAACGAAGCCGGCGGAGCGCTGGGGTTCATCGGAAATATATGGTATCTGCAAGCAGAACGATCTGCACCGTTGCCTGGCACGGCCCCCGCTAAAATACTGCATTTCGCGCTATTATCCTGGGCGCGCGACATGTATGACACGAAGGGAGAGGACCCAGCCAAAGCACGCTACACGCAGAGGCTCATGGCGGAAACCAAGAAAGACTTGCACGAGCTGACGTACGCTGCCTTGTCCTACCTGCTTCGGGACACGGAGGAAAAGGCGCGGGAGGCGATTGTCTCACATCTAGTCGTGCTCCTTTTGATCTCCCGCCACGATGCAGCGCAGCAATTACTCCTAGCGCAAGACGCCTTGCATATCGTAACTCGCGCACTGGTTTGTGTGGTCCGCCCGAGAAGCGCTCCCCGCGACGAGGCTTCGGACGAAGCGGTGATTTCCGGGTGTACTTACCTCCAGAAGTGTATCAATATGGGAGACGGGCCATCCTGTATCGTCAGGGCTTTCGAGGCGGGGTTCCTCACCGCCCTCTTATCCGGCTTCCATGACCCTGCCCACAGCCAATCTTATGCGGTCCTAGCCGCCCTCCTTCCATCTTATCTCATGCACCTCTCGGTTGTGCGCGCGGCAGCGAAGGCGCTGAAGAAGATCCGAAAACTCGGGATTGAGAAACACATGGACCGCCGGGGCCCAATCATCGAAGCCTGGTCAATTTTCAAGAAAGTCCTGGAAGAGCGAATTGAAGTAGCTGGGAAGACAGTGCATCTGAAATGTGCTAATAAACAGGTGAATTTATCCTGGACCGAAAGCACTGCAGACCATCTAATTTTTCTTCGCCAGTGCAATCGGATAGATTTTACGGATGACTGTTTACGATACTGTCTCGGGTGCATGGATTGCGCGTATTGTTCTAGCGAGTGCCAAATCTACGACTGGAGAACGGGGAGCCATCGCAAGCTCTGCAAAGAGACGAGGACCCGGCGAAAGGGTGAGTTCATGTCGGTGACACATAATCTCATTTACGGCGACCTGACCTTGTCACAGAGGGCCAAAAAATCAAACTCTCCTCCGAGAGCACTTCTTTCGTATACAATGTTCTGGAACGAGAACGGATCCTTAAGGCGCTGGAGGTTGCCGAGATAGTATATCGGACCAGGTCGCTCGCAGTGGAGTTTGACTATACTGTTTTTCCGATGAAGTTGAACCCGTGCGATACGCTCGAGGACAACCCGTCCTATACGCTGGTCCAGATGAAGCTCCCAGCCGGTCAGCACTTGCATCTTCTGCGTCAAATACCCCATGCCGCAGGATCTTGCTGACTCGGTGACGCTGCAAGGCGTGTCGTGAATAGTACCAGATGCATTGATGGTCCAGAGAATATGTCCCGTCGGTGCCCAAAGCTATGTTTAAACAAAGTTCAAATGATGTAACCACGGCCAGGATGAATGAGCACGATAAGGATGTCGAGCAGCACTCAGGTGACAGGAAATCAACGAACCTTACACCTAATTGAGGCGCTTTCGTCGCAGAAAAATCTACTTGGAGTTGGGTGGTAAGAATGCCCAATAATTCGAACGAGGCTTCGGCTTACTTTCGCCAGTTCTGGGCAACGACCATAGTTGCTGCTCGCAACCAAATCCTAGGGGTTGTATATCTCCGCGAATGTTTGCCTGCGTTCCATTCCGTTGATTCAACATTGACTACCGTTACAGCATATGCCCCGTTCCTACTTGAGCAGAAAGCCAACCACATTAGACAGTCTCTAAACGCAGAGAAAGATCCGGTGAGACATGTTCGGTCGAAGTTTGCGAATGAAGATCAAGATTCGAACGTGAGTTTGCATGGACTGTATGGAAATTTCATTTCTGAATGTATCTTTTATTCCAGGTGGCAACGTATCATAAAAACCGCACTCACCCGTCCTTTCATCCTCTTCTACCATGAACCAATCGTTCAACTATTGGGGATTTACATGGCTTTTGTCTACGGGCTCTTTTATCGTGCGTACCCATCATATCATAAATCCGCCTCCAATTGACCACCGTCCACAGTTTTCGTCTTCTCGATACCTCTCATGTTTTAAGGGACGTATGGTGAGGCTGTAAGTATCTCCGGACTTAATTATCTCGCTCTGGGGGTTGGCGTAACGGGCGCTTCTCAAATCAATGCCCGCGTAATGGACTATGTATACAAGTATCTCAAAGACAAGAACGGCGTGGGCAGCCTGAATATCGTCTCCGTGTGTATATCCTGCCCCTCTATATTTACGGCTCATGTTGTCCACTCAGCTTCCATGGTCCCGGGCACGATATTCCTTCCCGTGGGGCTTTTGATTACGGGTTGGGGCGCACAGGCCAAAGTTCATTGGATTGTGCCGGACATTGTGCGATTTTCTCTGCCAAATGGTTTTCAGCTAACCAACTGTCGCGACCAGGGAGGTTGCATTGGTCGGCGCCGGGATTATCCTGAACTTCCAGGCAATCCAGATCTATTTGGTCGATGCATTCACTTTGTATGCAGCATCTGGTACGCTTCCAACCACTGAGTTGAAGTTGAACCACATCATTCCGTTGTAACATTGTGTGATTTTGCCCTGGCTGCAACCTCGCTTCTTCGATCCCTGTGCGGATTTGGATTTCCGCTCTTCGCTGAAACAATGTACACGAAGCTGGGGTATGGTAAAGGAGACACCATACTCGTAGTCTTTGCTGTTGTACTCGGCTGCCCGTCGTATGTACCTACGATTCAATATTCAACGCTCTCATGATCATTTTCAGCCCATGGTTGTTCTGGAAATTCGGAAGGCAAATAAGAATGAGGAGCAAGTTTGCGAAGCGAGTGGCATCATGAGAGGTTAAATGATAGATATGTCCCAAGCCTCTGGAAATAAAATGGTTAGGATCCTGAATTTGTGGAATATATTCAAGTAAATTTGACATACGATCTGGTGAATCACTATCAGGTTCTTTCATCCATACAGTTGTATATTTCGAGAATGCAGAAGACCGAATCGAATACTGAACAACGATCAAACGACCACGCCTTTATTCCATCTGTCACCTAAATATTCATCCGGCGGATGTCCCAATCCCCCCCTCCCCACTTTCAAGGATGATGGGGACCGACAAAACATGATGTTTTCTAGTTTGATACTGACTGTAATTTGAAGAAAGAAATGCTAAAAATGATGCCTAATGGGGCGAGGCTCTCGTCGGCTGATGGAACGAACTCTCTCTACCGTCATTGTACTGGGGATGGTACTCTGGTGCACCCCGCCAAGGCTCCGGCAGCCCTACGATTCCGGTCCACGATACAAGATCTGCCAGAACTGCATGCTACAGCCTGCCTCCCCAGGGAATCGAACCCTGGACCTCCTTATAGGAACTTGTCATACTAGTGCCGGCGGCGTAACCGCTTCACCAAGAAGGCACCCGGAAGCATATGGATGGACGTTCTCCTTGAGCGGTAGCTACAAGGCTGTAAATAGTCCTGTCGGGGTGGCGGTGAGATGTGGCAGTGTCACATGTTTAACGTCGAGCGGTCCTGGATCTGAAATTTACGACTTTCCCCTTTCGAGGAGCCGTCGTCATTCAGACATAGCTGGTACCACTATAGCTTGGTGGTGGTTAGATTCCAACCTGAAAGCTACTAACCGAATGCGGCGAGCGCGATTCGAGACAGCAACGCGATTATGTCGCGCGTTCGCCGGATTACTTACCGCTTTGAGCAAGATATTTCTGATCCGTGGCTCGAATGGGGATATCAAACGCGTCCGCAAAAATGAACCGTTGGCGATGGTGTCACGTGATAGCGTATCATTTCTTTTCTGCTTCAACTTCAAGTTCCACACCCACAAATCGAACGGCAATTTCCTTTCCAAGATACCTTGATAGCTCCCTTAGTTTCTCTAGGCTCTTACAGAAAAAAGTATCTATTGGTCTGACAAGGGTGCCCTCCCCGTCAAGATTACAATTTATATCGCGTTTGAAATTTGGCATTTTTCCCGAATCCTCATGAACCCCCCAGGCTAATAACGGCTCCAGTTCAAGTTTGCGGCCCAGTAAAACGCGGCTCAGCTCCGCGCACTGGCTTGTCCGCGGGGCGCCAGTGTCCATCGAGTCGGACACTGAGAAGGATTCCGCCTCCTTCATCCTCATCGCACATCTCGCGCGCGCTCCCGCATCTATTAGAGACAGGATCCGGCAGCACTGCGCGAATAAGCGATCGCATTGGTTGATCGATGCGCTAGGCGGGCGCAAAGTCGTCAAATTTGAGGCAGAACCTGAACAGTCAGGCGAGTTTTTGCGGCCCAGATGTGCAGCATTGTAAGGATACTCGCGAGTTGGGGTGAGGTGTCGGAGCTCGATTTGAGCTCGACGACACCCCCCGGCCAACCCAGCGACACATCCGCCCGTTGGCGATCTTCTTGAGGTCCAAGCACTCATTTTCGCACGTTGGAGAGCACCTCAGTGTCTCTGGGCCGGAGATGAGCCAGCGGGGCTCGCAGCGGGATGGGAGGAGAAGCAGAAAACCCCAATATATGACTAATCCTACGACATGCGAACCTAATACTACCAAACTAAGGCAGATGCTGTCGACCACACCACAACGTTGCCGGAAGCGGCGGTGCAATAGAAGCCCTGTTTTGGACGAAGGAAACGTCGTTTTGGTGCTCAGGTATGTCGACATATAGGCCACGGAGGAATCAGGATAGCCTGCTCCCATCCGTCGTCGATTTCGCAGCTGCGATCCCACTTGAATGTAAGGAAGTTGTTTCTCAGGCATTCTTTGAATTCAGGGCGCATGGATGAGAAACCGCAGACGAGAGGAAGCAATTGTCGCAAAAAGCTGAGATTGTGAGCGTGGACTTCAAGTTAACGTGCGCGTGTGATCGTGTGACTCTATCGAGTCCATGTGACCTGACCTGACCACGACTTCGGATACGAGCAAGTTCCTCTTAACTTCTACGGAACAGGCCGGACAGCTGTCTGTGAGCGGACAAAACATCAGTATGCGAACTCTTCCAGAACCTCTGTTTCTCCCGAGCATGTCACGTCGTTAATAAATTCTCTTCCAAGTTACATATACATAACCACCTAAGGAGCCGCCGGTTTCGTTACGTCGGACCTTCTTAGCTACCTTTTCATGTATAGTAAAAGGTAGCTAAGAAGGTCCGAGTAGCTGCCAGAGCCAGAGGGTGGTACGTAAAGTGTTCCCATTAGGGTAAATTGCAGGCACGCGTTCCCTGCGGCATTCACGCCGAGTCCACGGGGTGTGCCGCATCATCCCACGCAAGTGGCCACTGTCGTGCGCGCCGCTTTCAATGAAACCCCAGGTGGCTGAATTACTTCTGGAGCACATCCAACCATGCTCTTCCTCCACATTTAGCCAGAAAGTTGGACAAGTTCCAGGGCCCAAAATAATAACAGGTCGGAGGCGGCAGGCCTTCGGTTCGACAGCTAAAATCATTGATGCGCCCTCTACGATAGCTGATCGCTTCGACAGAGCAGGAGAAGCATTTTCCACAGAAGCAAGTACACATTTTGGATTAAAAAAAAAGAGGGGCCGACGGCGGCCTCTGATGGATGACCCGACTATGGTCCGATTCTCATTCTGCTACTAATCCATGCGCGGAAAACTGGATAGCCTCTCTGTCATAGTCAAGCAGCTAGCATAATTTTATTTAAAGGAGCAGAAGGCCTCCGTTCAATACCGTCCTGTGCTCTGGTCGTTCTGTATGCCGATACCAGCAGTGCCTATGTATTTTAAACGACTGGCATATCAAAAATCTAATTACCACTGACCTGCCGTAACAGTAGCACCTCTATAGGAGGCCTTCATTGCAGATATTAGCCTGGCGCAGGAGACACGTACTGAGGGTTATCAGGGACTTCTGCTAGGTCAAAACTTCATCAACCTGACAATTATCACGTTGGATCGTCGTTGCCAGTGGTGCCGGCAACCGCCGACGCCTACGGCACAATGCATCCGAGGCCTCCGACACCGCCAACAGATCCTTTAGAAGTCTGGGGAGAACACTCCAGTTGATTTCTGGAGCCAAGATGTTTTCTTCCAGTAAAAATTTGTAGCGCTGGGATACAGAGGGCTGCCGAAGTAACCCGGAAATGTACCGGGTGGTGCCGGGCCGAATGATCGATCGATTTTGATCAGCCAATCACAAGCGGAATAAACCTCGTCTCCCCACAAAAACATGTATTGTGACCTCAATACTTCACGGAAAGCTTCGGCCCCGAGCCCAAACAAACGGCACAGATTGCCCGGTCATGAAATAAGCGGCAGATTGCACCTCATTGTGGATTTTTAAGAGGGTGCATGAAACGGCCCCGAAGTCAACCAAGTTCCATTATAGAATCTTGCGTTCACTTCAGGAACACCATTTTCAGACCTGTAAAAATCCAGACAGCCATGATTTACTACTGGGTGATGCACAAAGTGTATATCATACATTCAGAGGCTCACTACCCATTATTTCAGGCCAGATAAGAAGGAAGAAAAAGGGGAAAACATCGAAATTAGGAATATAGCACTATGGGGTTTGAGTTTCCTGTGGATACTACACCTGTACCACATCAATGGACTATATACACTGCTAGGTACCTTTAACCTGCAAAATAACAGCTGCCTGGAGCATGCAGAAGCAAGAATTGAGCAAGAAAGTGGAAATCGAAGGCCTCCAGTTTTCGATCAGAACCTGATGGCACCCCAATCTGAAAGGTTTCCGGCTCTGCCGTCAACTCCAACAGTCCGTGGAGAACTTTGTTATCCGGGCAAGTATTAGTTATAGCTTAGAAAACTGCAAGCATCACTGGCAGCCTCTGGTATTTGCTTTTGGCTTTCTTGCTGAGTTGTCGGCGTCAAACTTCTAACGGCGTGTCTACCCTATCAATCAGATCTCACGCATGACATATCCTGTCAATCTCGTACCTAGTAAGTTACGACGAACTGCCGAACAGAGGCCTCCCGCGCGCGCTGAGCCAAGGTCTTCGTACTTACTTGCCCAAAATGTTCAGTTGCCAGGCTATTAACTTCGTGCAAATAGGTTTTTATGAATGATGAGAATCGAGCCAAACTACGCTAGTCAGATCTCCCGCCGAGCAGAGGCCTCCTGCCGAGCGGAGGTCTTCTGCTCCTAGAAATGAAATGCCGCTAAGTACTTCCTCAGTGTTCAGTTGATAGGCTGACTGGTTTTCCGTGTATGGATCACAGCAGAATAAGAATCAAACTAGGATCGTCCATCAGCGGCCGCCGTCGGCCGCTCTTTTTTCCGATTTACATGCTTCGGTGCAAGCAGTTTCTTCTCCGGCGCTCGATTTAGGGTCGAACGGATCAGCCATCGCAAATGGCGCATCAATGATCGTAACTGTCGAGTGACCGAAGGCCTCTCTTCTAGTATTCTGGGCGCTGGCACTGGTCCAGCTTTCTGGCTAAATTTCAAGGAAGAGCATTGATTAAATGTGCTCCAGGGGCAATTCTGCCGCATGGGTTTCATTGAAAGCCGCGAGCACGACAGTGGCCACCTGCTCGGGAAGAGGCCGGCAGTGGCCACTTGCGTAGGATGATGCGGGAAATCCCGCGGACTCGGCGTGAATGCCGCAGGGAGCGCGTGCCTGCAATTTTCCTTAATGGGGACATCTTACGTACCACCCTCTGGCTCCGGCAGCTACTCGGACCTTCTTAGCTACCTTTTACTATACACGAAAAGGTAGCTAAGAAGGTCCGACGTAACGAAACCGGCGGCTCCTTAGGTGTACATAACCCGCGTTCCCAGGCGTTGCTGCCCACTGAGTCTCAAATTTCGAACCACTACTACTAACAGCTTACAGGCCCGAATTGACTCGGAATTTCCTAGTGTATCCGGGACCCATCAAGAAAATATGACACTCTAGCAATTAATTCTGAGCAGTGAGTGCTTCGTTCGTTTACCGCCAATTCTCCGGGAATTCTCGTGTTCCGCAAATATGGACCCATGTTATCTTTCCGCTTACATGCAAAGGACTAAACTCGCTCCGATCGATACTGGCCAGGAATAAGCTGAAGTTTGCGCAGATGCTCCGGCTTTCTCCCTACTCCGAAGTCATCGAAGACATTTGCATGAGCATTGTCTTGACAGCCTATGGGACAAATGCTCATCTGACCAAGATGCTGGTTCCCGCCGCACAATATAAACAGCTATCAGCGACGTGAGTGTTGCTTTTTTCGTTAAGAGCCAATTGTGATCAAGTATATGGGCGTTCTGATGAGAGGAAGCATCTGGAAACGGGCTCAAAGGACGTTTAGGAGATTGTAGACCACCTCTCGTCTCCTGCCCGAGATGCTGGATCCCACCCGATACAAACAGCTATCAACGTGCGTGCTACTTTTTTGTCCAGATCCGGCGTAATCGCGAGTCAAGGATGCGTCTGGAAGCG